AGCCATAGGCGCGTTTTAAAACTGCAAAACAGCCTACATCTAGTGGCTGTAATAGATGAGACGCATGTGCTGGCATACAGATCGGTATAATCTTGTTTTGCTCGCAGATTTGGTCGAATTGAGGTGTAAGATGGCTACCAGGTTGCAATATAGGTCGTCGACCATAGTATTCATATGCCCATTTTTGACCAACAGTCTCTAGAGGGGCCTGGCCGCGCTGAGCAAGCAGAATATTGGCTATTTCTTGAACAGCAGTAGGGCTAGGCGCTGCGCCACGTGAATCCATTGACAAAATCCATTGAAGAAGCGTATACTCCTCAGTTTCAGTCAATCTGTGATTGTTTGCGCGCGTATCATGGCGATTGGTATGGCCAGCTAGACGGCGGCGGAGTGTAGCCTCAGGCACACTAAATCAACGCGCTGCTTCGCGCATAGAAGCAATTTGGTCTTTCTGAATAGCCTCAATAGCTAACAAGACCCTACCCTCCTGTTCGATCGATTTTCGAGAGGATTGAGAGCGATCTGGTGGCATGGTAGGCAATAAAAATAATGATTAAGGTGGTTGGGTGAGATTTGGTTGGATGGTGCGTCGCTCGCTTACATGCGTCGCTCGCTTACCGACCACGTTATCTTTTTTGTCACGGTGCCAGCCCGCCATGTATGCACGTGATCTGAACGTGATCCACACGAGATATCTCCGCGCGCTGATGCCGGTCCTGTTGCAGCTCTTCGAGCTGCATCTTGTCTATGTATCTGTAGATAGCCTGAAGCTAGAATATTTTTATATTTTAACACCTTTATAGACTGCCTTTATATTATAATATTTTAATTCACTCTTATTATTTAAAATATCTATATAATAGTCAGCTAAGGGTCTAATTTATATATATGGTAAGTAATTAAATTTTGTAAAATAGAAAAATATAAAAGTGAATATAATTATTTAGCAAGGACTTTTGCCCATTGCTCTTCTTAAAATCAAAGACCTAAAAAATATTAAATTAATATGGGGCCATCTGAAGAGATATACCTAATATTATTAAATATAATAATAAGTGTTATATATAACTAATAAAAATTATAATTAACACGAAGGTTCTAGCTTAATATTACAAGATACTTTTTACAAAATTTATAGTAAGATATGAGTTAATTAATATAAATAGCAGTAAGAAATAACACACACTTACTACTCTTACAGCATGCTGATTGATCTATTACTGCGGTGGCCATTGGCTGCCTGCAGGCCATTCTGCTGCTTTGCCCCAGTAAATTTCTCTCCATTATGATAATAGCTTTCCCCTACAACTGTTACTCTCTCATTTTTTTTTTTTTTGCTATTACTTTTAAACTTGTTTATTCCTTGTGACTCAAGTCTATTTACTAATATAACTTTTGATAACTATATTTAACTCCCATAATATCATACATTTACTTTTTTCCCCTGTCATCTCTTCATAGTTATCAGAACTTCGCTATCTATACTATTCTGCTGTCTACTACTCTTTATGGTACTTGATACTCTCCCCTGTTCCTTTTTCAGATCTGTTAAGACTAATGTATCTTCTTATTACTCATTATTTTTTTTCTTAATAATACTGTTGTTAACCCCATATCTATAATATAATCTTCTGATAAATAAATGCTTTAATATCTTATATAAACTTAATGGTGTTCTTTACTATTATAATTTATACTATTAGAAGTTATTTATGTCTATATTAGTAGCTTAATGACTTATTCTTTTACTTAAATTCTTAGATTTATACTTTTCTCTTTACTACTTCTATATCTTACTACTAATAATATTAACAGGAAGGAAAGTAAGATAAAATTAATTAAAAAGAAGTTAAAGGGATTCTATAATATAACTAACTGCAGGCCAGCAAAAAGGCATGCCAATCAGTCTGAGTATTAAACTAGATTTAAAAGATAACCCATAATTGAGATAGGAGTATTAGCTATTGGCTTATTACACAGTTATATTTTTGATAATAACTATCAGATTTAGCATTTTTTTACAATTAAATTGATTAAGCTAATATCTTACTCTCACTATATATATATCTGAGAGAATTGTCACGGAGCTCAGCTAGGATAATGGAACATCCTTCTCATGCCAACACGTGATGTATATACGTGACCAGACCGTCACAAGAATAATATAAATTTAATGCCAAGGGGCGACTAATGGATTTAATAGTATATATAGATTTTGTATATGTTAACTTGATAAATTTATAAGTTAATTACTAGCTTTATATTTATTATTGCTAAGATATTAATTACCCAATCCAGCTAAAAGTAGACAGTTACCATCTAAAGTATAATAATAGAGATAGAATATATAATTTATAAAGCAGCTAAATAAATAATATAAACTTTAAATATATTAGAAAGGAATCAGTTTATAGTAGAATATCTATCATCTATAAGAATAGTAAGGCATCATTAATCTCATCAAAAATCTAATAAACTATTTAAAGATGAAGTATATGGCAACTGACTTTTATACTATTTAAGAGTATATAGATAATAAAGGCTTTATCTTGAGCATTTAAATCCTGGTAAGAATAAGATAATAATTAAAGCTTTTATAAAGGCTATTTATACAGGTGCCTATATACAATTGCTTAATAGCATGGATATGAGTTAATAGAGACAATTGAAAAAAAAATTAATACTGTAGAAGCATGCGTTCAACTGCTACTTATTAATTTAACTAATTACTAATTATTATTTAATTAATTGATCTTATATCCACAGAAATCATACATGGAGAGCAATAAGAGTTAGGATAGATTAATAGTCAGTTTAATTAACAATACTAAAAGATCTTTTTAGGAGATGCTACTGTAGCCGGATGATACATGGTTAAGCACTCATCATATCACTTTGGTGACTATCAGATAGTCAATAGACCTCGGCATGGGTACCCAATGGGTAGGTCTCTGCCCATTACCCATACCTATAGGCCCATGGGTACCAATGTAGTACCCATTCCCACCCACGATGGGCGGGGACCCACTACCTATGGGTAACCCATCGAATATCCACGCATGCATAACTATCCTAATTAGGATGTATTATTTACTGATTCAGCGTAATAGGCTAAGTTATGTAAAAAACACATGATCTGGCTGGGTTGAGTCATGTGATCTATGCCAGTGATGCACCATGTTTTCTTTCTGAATCTCAGTTACTGGGGTATAAAGTGCCCTAGGTTTCCGCAACGATTTGGGGCCAGGGAATGCGCCACCAGTCTGTTTTATACTACCTCTGTGAAATCCTCGTTGACCCTAAGATAGGGCTGCCTCGTATTTATTATAGTAGGGGCCTGGATTTCCAACCTCGGGGTAAACCCTAAGTCATTAAAATAACACAAATTTCAAAGCAATACGTGGAAATTGTTTCGATTATAAAAATCTACTACAAATAAATAGCACCAGAAAAATGGCAGGGCTTATGGCACCAGAGGTAGAAGAAGATCAGATGATATGGAGTGGAAATGTAGACCCTCAGTCATCTGGCTTGCCAGTATCAACAGGGGATGCAGCAACTATCTGCGCAAATAGATTCTTGAACCAGAATTCAAGATTCCCCAATTCCATATATCGACAGAATGTTTCGTTTTCATTATCGAAGTCGCGAGCAACCCGGCCTCTCTGTTCCGAACGAAATTGTGAATAGAGGATCTGTGACTCCTGTTCACTCAGTATCACATCTACCGGCGAAATAGGAACATAGAGAGAGTTGTCATCTTCATGCCCTGTAAAATGGTCAGAAGCACCACCCCAAAAAAAAAAAAAAAAAAAAAAAAGACTTACGATCTTTTAGACACAAGACTAGTGTGTGAAACAGTGCAGTGTCATGAGCTTCATTACTCAAACCCTCAGCAGCAACTGTGCCCATGCCCTCCCAATTATCCCTGATCATGCATCTCCTCCACACCAGCTTTTGCAAAGTGCTAGTATATGACTGATCTCTTTGACTGCAGCACCCCAAACGTATAGCCCGCAGAGCTAAGTAAAACTCTTTCCCAGAAAGCTCGGATTGCTCATAATCAGGAGCCCGAGTAGTATCAAGTAACGTCAAGAGATCAACCAACTGGTCAATACCCACCACTTCTCGCGCAACCACCCTTGTAAGCGCGCGAGCAAGTACTTCATGGAGCGAAGGCCTATGTTCAGCGATATGCCTCCCGAACTGCTCTACTGCTAGGTCTATTTCAGCTTTTTGATCAATGGCATCTTGCAATGCCGGCGTAATGTGTGCATGAATGACTTCTTGAACGGCGTCTAGTTCGGCGTAATCTTCAACGCGCTTGATGTCACTCTGGTTTATGGAATCGTGGGCTGAACCTGTCTCCTCCAACGCAGCTAGACTTGAAAGTTTCGCCAAAGAAAGCTCGACACGGTGACTCCAGAGGTCGGATTCGTGTTCAATGGCCAAGTTTGTCAAACATTCAGCAGCAGTGCCGTAGTCATTTTCACCAACAACATCATTAATCCAACTCAATCGTTGATAAGCCGGATTCTTGCGTAAAAACCGAGTGATAAACGGCTGGAACTTTCTCATGGCAAATAATACACCGGACTGACCCATTGAAATCTGACGGGAAAAGAAAGCATTCGCCCAAGATTCACCAAATTTTTCGAAATAATGAGAGATTTTCCTGCCGAGTTCACCAGATTCCTTGTCGAGGACAACAGCATCGGGGCCATCTGAACTGGTTTCGGAGAAAAGCTGGCATTTCGTTTGGTCTTGAAGTTCAATTATGAGCTCCACTAGTGCACCCATATCTCGAAATTTCTCCGCCAAACTTATGGCACCATCAAGCTGCCCAATACCGGCTAACTTGAATAATTGCCATCTGCGTTGTTTGACATGTGACTGCTCAGCCGAGACAATCTCGTCCATTGACTTGGGGTCTCCTTGAGACGAAAGCCATCGAATTCGCTCGCCATGCATTTGACTCAGGACACGAAGTTGCCTAGCGCAGTTTTTGGCGATGTCTTCTACAACATCATTTGGCGGCGCATCGACAATAGACATTGTTTGTTGGATCCAGGCCATACAGCTCCCAAGCTCCAGATCTAACAAGTGCCCAGTTTCAACATAGGCCATATTATGGGACGTCCAAGGTTCTGGTAAATTCTCGTAGCCGGCCACCAGAACACCGTCCTCCAAAAACTCTTCGTTCAGGCCATAAAGACTAGCACGCTCATCTCGAAACCGGAAAGCTGTTTCCAATACCGCGAGTGAGAACTCACTCGCTTGGAATATTTGCTCCGCCATTCTCCGTCCTTGCTTTGATTGGCCTTTCTGGGGTTTTATGGCATTAAAAATCCATGGGATGATATGCTCCATTCTGTACGTATCGTGAAGGAACCAATGGCGGACATAATCACTATCACTATGTCGTGAATCGAACTTCGTCTTAAACTTTTCACTCATCTGGTCGATGACACGAGACAAGAAAGTTGGCCCATCAGTGTTCTTTCTTCTCAATTCCCCCTCTATCTTCCACATAGCCTTCTGCGCAGCGAGCTTTTCGGCTCCCCATATTAGTTCCGATCGAGTTAGACCATTGAAGGGCAAGCCACGCTGGGTAAGCAAAGATGCGAGATCATCGAGGGCTTTTGCTCGTGATCGTAAATTCTGATCAAGTGGGATGCCGGACGATGGAATGTATTTGGAACTTGACCGCAGTAATTCCCTGCAAATTTCGAGAGCCGCTTGTTCCAATTCATCGACTGGAAAATCCAAGCCTCCTTTACTGGCCAAATTCAACGGATTTCTTACCATAGTTCCATAAAATACGGCCTGTTCGAGTTTATGTTTGGCCGTTGTCACATGTTCTTCGTCGGTACCGTTTTGAGCGCGCCGGCGAGGCACAGCTGAGACGCGGACAACACCAAAACCTCTAACCATTAGAAAACATGCAGGTAGTGGATTATGGTAGGCTGCCTCCTCGAAACCGCTGCCCAGTAATTCATACTCGATGCCGGATCGGAGATCAATTCTATCACAGAAAATCGAAGGCAGTGGATGTGAGTCTTGCGGCGCTATTCTGTCATCAAATTGGGCCAACGACAATACAATAATGGATTGCCCAATGACGACAAAACCCGTATCGCCGGGTTCCGAAACAAACAGACGCAGTTTTGATTCATTTGATCGGGTATGATGCAAGTTTATGAGGCGAGTTGACAAAACACGCCCATCGTCAGATAAGATCATTCGAATTACCCATAGGCTTGTGGAACTAGATCCTTGCGGCAGTTCCACAACGAAGTAAAGTGGCCACTTTCCTGTCTCGGGGGCTTGTGATCCGCGAACATTACTGTCGTTGCCAGCACCAGAAGCTAAGTCGAGAATCTTGAGGGCATGATCACCAGATTCATCCGCCAAATTTGGACCAAGAGACTCGGCTAAGTGCTGCCTAATGTCGAATTGCTTTCTTAAGATGCTGCCGTTGCTCCAGTGCGTATCCCAGACTTCCACAAGGCCGCTCGCCGTAGCAATTATGATATCACGCTGACCGCGTTGACGAGACACGCCCGGCCTGGCCGCAGCAATCTCTTTTCGCCAGAAGCCACCCGCCAGAGCGTTCTTAATACCCCCCAGGAACCCCATGCTGCCACTTGTCGAATTCCGTAGAAAATCAGAAGCAATTGTCGGCTTCCCCTGGGAGCTCCTGACAGTTATCTGAGCCACTCTTCCTGATGAAAGCGTTGCAATAACACCAGACGGTTCTCCGCTGACTACCTCGGTGACATGCTCCCCATACAACAAGCCTGAGATAGAACCCTGCAGTCCATTCTGTTTATGCCTGGATAGTGCTAATGATATGGCACTCGACACAGTCTCCCAGTATACAATTTTTCCAGTGGAAGGTATGATCACCATTAAGCCCGGAGGGCCGGATGTAGCAGTCGATAGAAGGACCCCGAAAGGTGCTTCTGCGGTAGTATCTCTGCAGGACTCAGGCACTGATAGGGTGAAAACTTCAGCTGGGGAGGGTGACGAAGCAGAACTCGAGTAGGGCCAGATGATAGCATGTGATTGTGTCAGTACTAATGCATATCCGTGGCCGGTCCCGAAGGAGCATGTGAAATGCCCTGCTGATTGCGTTAGCAATAGATATATCATGCAAAGAAATCAGCGGCGTACCTGATTGGGATTCGCGTATTTGGTCTGGCAAGGCAGGCAATTGTGAAACTGTGTAGAGATTTGTCCTTGACTGCACATTCAGTTAATAACGATTATGATCTGGAGAATTCAGGAATATGGAAAAGACAAACAAGAACAACCGCTCCGTCAATGTCATTATCGTCATCTCGTTTGTCAGTTTTTTTTGGACCCCTGATCGCAATCTGCTTTTGGGCCCCTGTATTTTCAGTAGTCTCAGGTTTGGCTTTATCCGATTCAGATACCCCCAGGCCGACAGATTCACATTCATAGTCGCGTTCGATCCTGTCATTCTCTAACTCAGACTCGACATTTTCCTGGGCGGATCGCTGCCTCTTGGCTTTGTGTTGTTTGATGGATTCGCCGGAGCTTGTTCGCTGACGCCTTCGCGAACTGCGCAGAGAAGCGGTCGCTTTAGGTACGAACATCGCGTCGACCCTGGAAAGAATGACTGCGAAATTAAACCGCCATTCAAATGATATTATCCCAGCACATATAACCTGGCATTTGGGATCGAAGTCGGTTTATCGAGCGGAACGCAATTCCAATAATAGGTATCTGAATTATTTTGAAGGTACGGAGTACTTGTACGGGTTAAAATTGGGAACTGTGCCGAAGGCGGTGAGCGTTTACTATGAATACATATCGTACGGAGTACTCTGTACTCCATACGGATTCTGACTTTTATACATGTCAACAAAGGCAGCAATCCAACATCCAGACAATAAGAATTGATCAGATTTGGAACACCATAAAGTGGGTTGTGAGTTCTTTCTTTCTTCCTTAGACGGAATAATCTCAACGATCGAAATCCTGATACCATTTATTGTTACCTTTTGTTTGTGAAACTACAGAGTATAACTCTAATCTTATGAACATATTGGTCAACATTATCATCAACTCTTCAAATGCTGGAAGAGGCATCATACAATACGTAGTTAGTTAACTAAGTTGGACAGCTTAGCTAATTAGTAGCGCCCAATGACAAAGGCTTGAATTGAACTTACCAGGCGGAACAATATTATATATTCTGAATTTCAAATTATTACAATACATTACTCGGAACGGCCATGCTCACTCGTCTTTGGCCATTCACAAGCAAGCGTATTGTCACAATGAAAACCCATTTGTGACGAGGGAGCCGCAAGCCCGCAGCGTCTTTCCTCAACTATCATTCATCATTGCCACCAGTGCTTCAACGCCGACAGCCTCGGAATAGGTCTTTACTCAATTCTAAAAACGTCTGAAGGAGCTGTCCAGTTTACACGGATCAAGATAATTAGCCATGTTGCATCTACCAAAGCGCGCCATTCCTGGCGCTTTTTCTGGTGAGCACTTTGTTCTTCTTGACTTAGGTTATACTGACAAGAGTATCAGTGCGCACATGCCTCGCCCCGGGCCTTCACATTCAGCCAACAGCATCCCTGTCGACATCTTCGAGCAAGTCGGCCACTGCGCTTGAGCGTCAAGGGCATTCGGGCCAGCCGCTCACGGCATCTGGCAAAGTGCGAAGGGAAGTGCCTTTACCGAGTCAGGAGAAAAAGGAGGGTGCGATGCAATATGTCCTGTTTGTGCCCCCGGCCAGATTTAGACCCCAGTTTTCCGTGGGATACTAACCGCTCTTCCCGTGCACCTTAAGAACCACTCTCGATCAGGTGACCAACTGGGCTCGTCAGAGTTCCCTGTGGCCCATGACATTCGGACTTGCATGTTGCGCTCTTGAGATGATGCATTTGTCAACTCCCAGATACGATCAAGACCGCCTGGGAATCATTTTTCGAGCTTCGCCTCGTCAGTCAGATGTCATGATTGTCGCCGGTACCTTGACGAACAAGATGGCACCTGCTCTTAGGCAAGTTTACGACCAGATGCCCGACCCGCGCTGGGTTATTAGCATGGGAAGTTGTGCAAATGGTGGTGGTTATTATCACTACAGCTACTCAGTTGTCCGAGGCTGTGATAGAATTGTGCCTGTTGATGTCTATGTTCCAGGATGTTTGTGCCCATTGACCCTTTCACATAAATGGAGTTTAACGCTAACTTGGATTTCAAGGCCCACCCACATCTGAGGCATTGATGTATGGGATTTTTCAGCTTCAAAAGAAAATGAGGCACACAAGAATTACACGCATGTGGTATCGTCGTTAGTTTCTTTCTTAATTCGTTATGAGACACTGCAGCGTTTAGATAACTGTGTACACTATCCTGGACTAAAATATTTAAGAAATACCGGTTATGGCAGGGGCCATCTAATGCATGTCCGGCCTTGATCATATATGGACAGAAACATCTTGTTATCATTGTATCCGAAAATGTACAGTTCAGCATATTCCATAATTCTTTCTTCCCCCCCCCCCCCCAAAAAAAAAAAAACATCTTGACTCCATTTACATGGCTTGCAGAGTTTAGCTTTGAACATAGATGCATTTATTCAATTAGTCTAATCTATCTGAATCTCGATTATCCATTAACCACGACGCCGCCGTTGGGGTGCAAGCATTGGCCAGAGATGAAACTGCTGTCTTGACTTGCAAGGAAAACGAAGCATGTAGCAACTTCACTGGGCTGTCCTGGACGACCGATTGGCACGGCGTGAAACTGCTCCATTGCAGACGTATGCATTGTTGAAGGAATAAGAGGGGTCCAGACTAGAAGATTTGGTCAACACGTCTATCTGTTACAGCTAGGTAGTTAGGGACATACTTGGACCAGGGCAGACACAATTGACTCTTATGCCTTTACCAACTTGTTGGTTTGACAAACCTCGCGTAAACGCTACAATGGCTCCCTTGGTAGACGTATAGTCAAGGAGATCAGGTCGACCAATGTAATGGTTAACCGAAGAGCAATTGATTATAGTTGAGCCCCTTTTCATGTGAGGCAGGGCGTACTTGGAAAGATAAAAGAACGGATGAATGTTGGTATCGAACGTCCTTTCCCACTGATCCCTGTCGGCCTGTCAGCATCGTTTTCGTCAAGAAACTAGCCGTTCCATACTTACTCGGACAATTCACTGATGTCGCTAAGCATGTGCTGAAATGCAGCATTGTTGACGAGTATGTCGATTCCACCAAGGGACTGCAAAGCCACATCGATTATCTTTTTGCAGTTCTCCTTTTTTCGAAGATCAATAGCCAAGCAATGACATTCACGGCCGGCTTCTTGAACCTGTTTCTTGGTTTCCTGTGCATCTTTTTCTTCCTCTGGCAAATACACGATGAGACTCGATGCTCCTTCCATCGCAAAGAGTATAGCAATGGCGCGCCCGATTCCCGAGTCACCGCCAGTAATGATGGCTCTTTTACCATCCAACTTTCCAGCTGCCTTGTAAAGTTGGTATCCACCATCCTCCGTCGGAAGATGAGTTGACACAGGAGCTTCTTTTAGATCTGCCTGTAACCCAGGCTTCTCCAGGCGCTGGATAGGAACACGATGGCCTGCAGGGGTTTTCTAAGCCAATGCATTTCTTGTCATTCGGGCTAATTGCGCTTACCAGGCTGAAACTGAGATGGCATTGTGCTATGTCTTCCGGCTTTGTACGTCCGATAATGGTTAGTTTCTCAGCTTTGTTGACGATCCGTAGATTTGAAGTAGTTGTAACTGAACATAGAAAAGAGCAGGTTGCTCGTCAATTTATATTATTCTCATTCCATGAGAACCTGTAGGACCGGTCCTGTCGTCACAGTGACGTTGAACCTTCTGCGGACAATCAAACCCCAGGAAATAAAGACCGAGTACATAAACCAGGGTATTATTTTGCGTGTATAGACCTGCCTACCCGATTCATGGTTTTCCGCAATCGTAAGCATCACGGTTTCAATGGAGTGACGTTGTTCAGTCAGGTAATCGTGACAGGAATGTGTGCCTCATTATGATGATGATAGATCAAATATCGCTTTTGTCCCCCAGGATCACAATTATCGAGACATTAGTACGTCTGCAATGCTTCTCAACTGGTGTCAGTCACCTTTTTGTGCCGTACCATTGCAGCATTGATATTGATGACAACGTTCCTAGTTTCTCTCCCCCCCTCTTTTCTCTTTAAACGCATCATGTTTACTACTGCAGAGTGGTCTCGCATATATATCAATATTATTGTAGATATTCGCCACATTCCAACCTTTCATAATGTTTCTGCTGCCAGTCTTGCGCGAATATGCGTTTATGCAATTGTCGTGCCAGGTTCGTATAGTAGTACTACGGAGTACATGTAGACATCATCTGTACCCCCTTCTCACCGCCATTCTGACCGCCTGCTCACTGTCGCCTTTTTTTTTTTTTTTTTTTTTTTTCTTTTCTTTTCTTTTTTTTTTTTTCTGCTTCTTTAGCCCTTCGATTTTTTCGAGACCTACCCTCTCAGACCCCACCCTTTATTTGCTTCTGAGCAGGTGCATCTTTGAGTGTTCATATCGAAAGATGAGCCATTCGCTTCCGAATAACATTGAAGGATTAACCTCAATTGAACCCCTTCACTCGACATTGTCTACACCTTGGTCCTTTCTCCATCCGACAACAGAACTGCATGGTGCTATAACTGGATCGACCAAGTATTTCTTTGACACGATCGCATTATCCGTCAATAATTCACAGACATCTCGACTACAGAGCACCAGAAAACGCAAGAGATTCGAGCCCAGACAAGATCATACGGATCGGGTCTTGCAGTTGAAGCAGCTGTATGTGGAAGGGTTTACATCGGACCAAATATGGGAACAAGCCACACGGATTCTTGATTCAACTAGCAAAGAAATAGAGCGCGATAGTATCCATGCTAGGAAATCGGCCCGAGCCCCTTCAGCCGGCTCGGCCTCCGAGACCGAAGGACCTGGATACGAGTCAATAGAGGGCTCTGAAAATGAGTCGGTAATCGATCACGATGACATGAATACTGGCCCAGAGCCTAATGACTCTCCTGACGGTGAATTGGATACTGGGGGTGAGATCGATGAAGTGTCTGATGAAGACGCTGCTTCCGCTAGATCTGATGATGAAAGTAAACACGGCACATATACGGAAGATCGTTTCGGGTTGAATGATGGTTTCTTTTCGATAGATGACTTCAACGCGCAAGCTGAAGCTTTTGAAAGGGAAGACCTCAGAGGTGGGCCAACCGAAGAGGTCGATAGCGATGATGAAGATATCGATTGGCATGCGAACCCCCTTGTTCCGGGCAATGCAATGTCCGTTTCAAAAGGCCCATCAAAAGTAAACGGAACGGAAGATGAAATGAGTGATAGTAGTGACGAAGAGGGTCCTACGTTTGGGAACGCAAACTTGCAAGGCGACTTAGACTCGGAAGAGGACAGTGACAGTGCAGGCGCCGACGATGGAGACGGCGCTGGTTGGATTGACACTAGCGATATCAAATACACCGACTTCTTTGCGCCGCCTCCCCGAAAGGTCACAACAAAGAAGGCACGCCCACTCCCAAAGACGCAGCCTAATACGGCTAACCTCGATAACGATGTGGGCCGTGCAATGGCTGATGTTCGCCGCGATTTATTCGAAGACGAGGCTTCGGATAATGGGGTTTCTTCCGACGACAATGGAGACCCTAAAACGCAACGGTCAACGCATGAGAAACAACGGGCACATATTGCAGACGAGATACGTCGCCTTGAAGCCGCCAATGTCGCCAAGAAGGAATGGATGCTCTCTGGTGAAGCCAGGGCAGCCGAGAGACCCATGAATTCACTGATTGAGGAAGATCTTGATTTTGAGCGGATCGGGAAGCCAGTGCCTGTTGTCACGACAGAACTCTCAGAGAGCATTGAGGACCTGGTAAAGCGCCGCATTCTAGCCAAGGAATTTGATGAAATTATTCGTCGCCGTCCTGGTACTTCAGATGCCCAAGATGCACGGAAGCCGAGATTCGAGTTGGAGGACACGAAGCCTCAGCAAAGTCTTGCTGAAATGTACGAAGCTGACCATCTTCGTGCTACTGATCCCAATTTTGTCGATCCTAAAAACCAAAAGTTGGTGAAGGAACATGCTGAAATCACGAACTTGTGGAAGGAAATCAGTAGCCAGTTGGATACTCTTTCTAATTGGCATTACAAGCCAAAGGCTCCTCAAGCAAACATCAACGTCATTACGGATGTGTCGACTGTCATGATGGAGGAAGCGCGACCAACTGTTAGTGGTGCTGTGAATGATTTGGCAGCCCTCGCTCCGCAGGAGATCTATGCTCCTGGTAGCGATGGCAAAGCTACTGGAGAGGTTGTGTTGAAGACAGGAGCATCTGTTGCCAAAGACGAAATGACTCGCGAAGACAAGGCCAAGTTGAGACGACAACACAAGAAACAGAAAAAGGCTGGTACTGGACAGTCCAATCAACAGTCCAGTAAATCAGCCGAAAGGCAACAACTCGTGTCGGACCTGAAGCAGGGAGGTGTCAAGGTCATAGGGAAACAGGGTGAGGTTACAGATATCCATGGTAGCAAGGTTGATGGGGTAGGCACGAGAAATAGTGGTGATACGCTGAAGTTGTAAGCATTGCATTACTTGGTGTATATATAGACTTCTGAAATCACATTTCTTCTTCTGCGCTGTCTCTTCCCTCTCTCTCCGTCTCTCTCTTTTTCTTCTGTGTTGTAGGTTATAAGTTGTTCGGAATAAGCTGGCTAGTTGCTACATCAAGCTTTCTTCCTTTACTTTCATTTCTTCGCGATGCTATTTATTCAATTGTGCCCTCTATCTTCCACCTGCTTCGCTGTTTCTAGCGCGAATTCTATAAAGAAAGATGCTTTCGCGCTTGTAACTCTCGGCGTCGGGATCATCCTGGATTTCACTGATATCAAATATTTTCTTTGCCACTTTCAGAAAACGAACATCCGCTCGCCTACGTCTCTTGAAGCAAAAGTAGCATACTGAGTCGGGACCAATTAGTTCTTGGAGCGTCGTTATAAGACGTGGGAAGGCCGGTTCAAAATAAACGCAGTCAGCAGCCAATATAACAGCTGGGCGAGAAGGGATATCATCAGGAAGCGGCTCTCCCCAGCTTAAAACTATAGCTTTGACGAGCGGCGAGAGGTCGTTGAGTTTGATGTTCGTTTCCATCAATGGAAGCATCGGTTCTTGGTCGGTAAGGTAAATCGGGGATGGCCCAACAACGCAGCCGCGAGCTACTGCCAAACCGACAAGGCCGCCTCCAGCTCCCAGTTCAACACTACCTCAAAATTTCAGCTAATAATCCAATTAATCATGTTGATGGAGATTACAGACATGGATTTATTAGCAAGATCTGACTTGTGTTGGCGCAGAAGATACTTGGCCAGAACCATCCCAGCCGGCCAGAGTTTGCCTCCACATCCTTCGGAAAGATCCTCCTTGAGGAACAGAGGATCATTCAGAAGGCCATCAAATGACACACTGCTATTTCCAGCTTCTTGCGACTTTCTTATTGGGACCAAAGACTCGCTGACATCGAAGGGATCAGTTGAGTCCGCTGATGCGGGGCTAGGATCGCGACCCTCCATGCAGGAACAAGTGAGGGGAGGGAATGGAAAAATGGAACCAAGACCTTCCAAAAGAATGTGTGTGTGTGTATGTGTAATCAAAGACTTGGTGTGAACAAGGTGCAAGTGTTGATGGTAGTAGATGCATGAAGAGGGGCACCAAAAAAAAAAGAAAGAAAAAAATTAAAAGAGTACAGAGTAGAGAGTGCTAAGTAGTAATCATCAGGCCACCATTATCATGGAAATAGATGGGTTAATTCCATGATATCCTAGACATTGTTCTTGTCTAGGTCTGACCTTACAATTCCATAGCATAACATTTCATATTGAATTCACATTAACAATGATGTTCACGTGATGGGTGCTACTTGCGTCCTCAGAATGATGTCATGTCTTCTTTAAGCACTTCCGATCTTCCCCCCACATTGCCATCTACTTTCTGTTCGCGTCCACTCAGCCCGATCATTGGTCCAAAGTAATAGTATTACTCCATAGCAGGTTCTACTTCCATTTCCCCATATATAGGATGCACTTTTTCAATCATGTCAACGTCATTGCCAGCTACTTCTGAACGCGGCTGCCAAGATGACGATACCATATCACCTTCAAAAGCTCATCCATTTCCTGCTGCAATTCTATCCATTCCTTCTATTCTCTACTAAAGACACGTTTTTATCAGAGCCGTAACATATATATCTCTACTTGATTGATCTTTCAAGATGACGACTCTTCACTGTGAGTATTTCAATGGTCTGAAAGGCTATATGTTGCTAAGACATGATGATCAAGACTTGCCTCCCGTGAAGCCCTCTGCCATTGCGATGGGTACGGTCTTCACCCATACAGCTTCCTTGGGTATCCTTGCGCCGGTCTTCGGCGACACCTACCACCGTGCCCAGGCAGCCAATTCTAAAGAAGAATTCATCAAGTCCAAAGAAGCTGCTGGAGCAGCAGCCGCCTGGGGCAGTTCTTTCGTCGGAAGTGCTGCCCAGACGTACGGAGTGGCAGCCTTAATCAATGCAACTGGAACTCTGAGCTACAAGGGCGCGGCCTATCTGGGAAGCTTGATCTTCATGGCCAGTTCTGCTCCAAGTGTGCGTTGTCTTGCCTGCGTCTTTTGCCAATTGTTACATGCTGACCCTTTCATTCTTCCCGCGCGAGAACAGTTCATCAGCCAGGTATTTACGGAGAAGCGGCCTCTAGATACTGTGGCCGTGGGAGCCGTCAGCAGGGCTTTCGAAACAGTCGGACTGAGCTTGTTCTTGACATGGTGGGGTACCCGGACCAACCCCTTTGACTAGAGGCGCATCAAAAAGGCAAAGGAAATGTGATCATCGTCTGTTATGACCACATTTCTTCCTATATCAATTTTCTTAGCTCTCTGAATGAATATGCAATTATCTATCGTGCACCACGCAAAGGAAAGAAAGGAATCTATACAACTCGGACTCCATCAGATTCTCTCGCTCTCGCTCGTTCTCTCTGGTTTATTATCTATCTATTTTTTTTACCTTTTTATTTCTCTCATGCATGCTGATAGCATCTTGTCGCCCCTAGCCCTAATATATATAGGCAAAAATTACAGTGGTATGGTGCTGTAATTTTTGAAAAAACAAAGGTGTCCATTGTAGGAAAAGTCTATAACACAATTAAACGAATGTGCGGCAGGGATACCTATTTTAAGAGGCGTTAGCACTTGAGTTCAACAGGGAGGGAGAAAATTCAACATACACTTCAGGGTAGCCGTTGTCGTGGTCAAGCTGGTACTTTGTTGCCGATGCATTCAGATTACAAGGCGTCGGCGGCAGGCCATTAGGGCCAAGAACACCCTGAATGCCCTTTTTGTCTTTCTCAAAATGAGCAGCCAAACCACGTTGTTCGCCTTCCTGCTTGACAGAAACCAGTTGTTTTTGCCCTGCTTCTCCAATCTGCAAGACGTCATCCTTTGGCGCAGCCTGGCTTCCAACGGTAAGCAGACCCACAGCATCTGCTTGATTCACAGTGCTGAGCCTGGGGTAGTTCCTTCGGGCATCCCGTTTCCAGTAGGGATTGTCGGCAATGTCACCGGCTGGCGCAGTTACGGGGTCATCGTAAGTTAGAGGCGAAAGACCTCCGGGTGTAGGAAGACGATAATGAGCATTCAATGGGATACCGGTGGATCGTTCGGGCGCAATGGACAGTAGGCGACGGATACGTTCCCAAATTCCGTAGGATTGGACAGTGTATTTCTAAAAAGACAGTCGTTTAGAAAAAAGCAGCGCACTCGATAGAAACCAAAGATATACAATCCAGACCAGAGTTGAATTATCTTACCTTATGAACGGAAACCGCGTTCGAGGCGGATTTGGCTGCTTTCAAGATATCGCGAGCCATGATGGGCGAAGACGTTGACCTACATGTGCCAAGTCAGTAATGTCACCCCCAACTTGCCGCAAAAGGTACGACGTAAGAAAACAGACAATTCAATTCAATCGGTCAAAACATTACCTTTTTTTTTTTTTTCAAACCGCCTCCAAAGTCGAGATGTCCAGTAACTTGTAGTGTGATACGGCGGACATTCATTAGGAAGCGCTGATAGCCGACGCCACGAGCGGAACAATGGTATTTCCACCCGCACGGACAGCGAACAGGCATGCAGTGAATTCTAAGCATCCTGATCTACGGAGTACTATATACACATCTATTATTATAATTATTATTATGAACACCGCATCGTTGAGAACCAGACATGATGTAAAGAGACCACTATTTGGTGAATCTCACACTGGAATACTAGTACTGTATATTGAGACAGATGTAGAACAATTCATGAGCTACCTCTTTTTTTTTTTTTTCTTTCTCTTCTCCCTCCAAATACTCCCTTGCCCTTCTAATCCTCATCCTTGCCCTGTGCTTCAGCATCCGTTTTGGGGGTTCCTTCGACCTGCTCCGCAGGAACCAGTTTTTGCACAGCATCGACTGTCGCATCTGGACCACCGGCCTGGCGAAGCAAGACCTTACCTTGTTTATCCACAGAGAAGACGCCTCTGACGGTACCTTTCGGTACTTTCTTGGATCCAATGGCGCTAATCAATGTAGCGCTGGTATCGCAAAGGAGAGGATAGGGTAAAGTTTGCTTGGACTTGAATGTAGTATTTGCCCTGGGCGAATCGGCTGACAGACCGTAAATTGATAGTCCAGTTGATGTCAAATGATTGTACTTGTCGCGAAACAGACAAGCTTGCTTTGTGCCTTTCATATTTTGTGAAGAATGAGTTTCTCTGCAGTAAACCACTGGGCATCTCTAAATAGGAATCCCAAGCTTGCACTCGGCACTTGGGACTGGTGTGAGGATAAACTTACAACCAGGGGTTGATGCTTTTGGATAGGTAAATAGAACAACACCAGATTTGCTTGTCGCTACAAGCTCTTTAAGATTTGTTTTCGTGCCGTCATTTGTCTCAATTTCGCCACCGAATCCGTCCAGAGCAATGGTATCGCCGACATTGGGAACTCCAGCAAGTGAATCAGCGTTTGTGGCATCGTTCGTTTTTCTCGTCTGGCGATCTGAGGAAGATGTCTCTTCTTTCTTGCCTCTCTTGCCTTTTGTCTCTGTGATATTAGGCTGTATAGGTGCTTTGCGCTTTCTGAGCTCGACCATATTGAGGGGGAAGTGAGGTCGGTGTGGGAAAGAGAACAGAAAAGGTGAAAAGTGTGTACGGAGTACAACAAAATGCGGAATAATAATAGTACAGTAATATGTATGTACGGAGTATGGGGCACATACGATACAAGATTATTATTATGGAGCAAAAGGCTTTTCGAAACCTCTAGATTCAAGGCGCTAGTGATCTAGACTCGGCATTACCCTGGAAAATTGAGGTGACAGCGGCTCCATGGTAATCCTTTGCTCCAGGTGGAATCCATTATTGCAAATAGCTTGTCAGTCCTTCAAAAACACTTTCGATCATGTTGAATTGTGATAGGTCTTGATAATATGTACGTACAAGTACTGGATTACTCCGTACCCCTGTACTAGCGAACAAAATTAGTATCAAGCCGTTCCGTTCCCTTGTACCGAGTATTACGGTAACCATGGATGGCCGGCGTTCTTTGCTTTTCTGCCGGAAGATCCCGACATCGGAACCAGGTCTCGTGCATTAAAAATTTCTCCCGCTTCTCAATTCTCATTGCAGGAGAGCTGCGATCGCCATCCACATCCCATCATCCAATATCGCCATCATATATCATCTAAGCTTTATATCACTACTAGGACTATTTCAATTCTTCTGTAGTTGAGCAATCCGACTCATTACTCTCCTGAATTTGTTACTCCTGAGTTTTCACTTCGACTACCGCACTGCAATCATAATAACATCGATTTAAATCGGTTAATCCGTGCCACGGCACGTCCAACATCAAGCGCTGTCAGTCTAGAGGCCTTCCTTTCATTGCCTAACAACGGCATCTTCTCGGACGAGCAATCATGAAGGTCTTCTCTTCCAACTGCACCTTCGACTATTCCTGGAACGAAGTTTCGACCGCGAACTGGCGCAAGTACTGCCCATGGAATGACAAGTCAACCCATGTCGTGGGGGTGGACACTCTTTCTCGATCAGTCGATCAAGCGACTGGCATCGTAAGTTGCCCTGCATTTTCAGGTTGTTATTTTGAGTAATCCCAATTGACATCGCTGCTGTACATAGTTGCGTACGGAGCGCCTCATCACATGTGATCAGTCCGTGCCACAATGGGTATTATCATTGTTCGGAGGGAGCGCTACATCTCATGTCTACGAGATTTCCTATGTCGACCCAATCGCGAAGAAAGTTACCATGTGCTCCAGCAATCTTACCTGGTCCAACGTTCTCAACGTTCAAGAAACTGTGATATACCGACCTTCACCGTCAAAGGCAAACTCCACCGATTTTAATCAAGAAGCCAAAATCACTGCGCTTTGCGGTGGCTGGCAGAAGATCAAAAACAAGGTAGAGGAAGCAAGTGTGGAAAGGTTCAGTCAAAACGCCAAAAGAGGACGAGAAGGCTTCGAGGCGGTACTCGAGATGAGTCGACGGGTCTTCGGCGAACAACGCGAGCACGAAAAAAGGCAGCTACAGTCGTGAGCAGTCTAGACATCCGTTTACATCCGCATATTAAGCGACTTGCATATCTCGGCGTCGGTTTCTAATACTTCTTGTTTCGGTGGTCGTTTCTCTTTTTTTTCGGTGGCCGTGGCCAATGTTCATACGATTATCACGTTTCCACTTTCATGAGACTTGTGTTTCACAAAAGTTGTTTAGATATCCCTTGGTTTGTTGGTCAATGTGTATTTGTTCCCATTTCGGGACTTCTGTACAAAAAGATTAGAACAGAGAATCTGATAGATAAAAGCATTATTAGGATATTAGTGTCGACCCGACTAGCTCCGCAGCAGTAACTATAGCTTCTGTGAATGTGTCTTTCGAAAGAGCTTCTACCTGTACATCGACGCTCTTAATACTCCGTTCCCAACCAGTTAACGCCCATTATACCGCCTATGAGAAGGAAAAGAAAGAAAAAGGAAAACGAAGGTGGCGATCAGCCCAGGAGTCCACCCAAAACTACACGACTGACACCAGTCACCTCGTTTCTGGCACTACTGCGACTGGCGTCTTCGAATTCTCGCACCACACCGGCCACCATGATCTTTCGAAGTTTTGTATCCGCCTTGGAGAACATTTCGCCTAGAGAGACAGTGCATACCGAAGGAGTTGATACCAGAGAAACCAATCGAGTGTAGCAATCAATCAAAACATCACACAGGGTAGCAAAAGTTTCGAAAAAATCCGGCTCGAAGGGGAGCGACGGCGTTAATAGATAGGAATACTCCTCCCCTGGAAGGAGTTCAGATGACTCTGTCTGAGGAAATGAACTGACAGTCGCAGCTGTCGTCGCAGATGGGGCGATATTCCCTGCCATTGCTTTTAAATCAGAAGGATCGCTGGATTGCATGGGCAGTCCAATCTCTGTTGCCGAGCTAGCTCTTCTGACCTTTGTCCCTGCGTGTGCTGCTCGCTTGAACATCTGTGGAATACGCGCTCTGGCTAGCGTTGACGACGAACTCCCGTCAGGTGGGTGTACTTGCTGGAAGGCTTCAAATTCCAGCAGTAGCGCATTTAGGGCACGCAGGTATTCGGAAGGCGTTGAATTGACGTCCAAAATCGGCGGTAATGACAAACCAAGTAGAAGGTAGTTGACTGCACGACGAGACAGCTTCCGAGTCTCGAAATAAGACATGCGTCCCAGGTCCGCCCGGGAGAAGTGAACTGTGTTGAACCAGTATACGCGCCCCTCATGACTGCAAAGCCTATTAGCACTTAAAACGAGATCGCTCTCCTGAAGAATAAAGACAATGTGGACAAACTGACGCTTTCCGAAGATAATCCAAAGTAGATATCCGTTTCGTTGCCATGTCATGGATGTGCTGGTATATTGCGCCAGCGCTTTGTGGTCCGAGTGTGCCTCCTCCACTCGTTAGAGGAGGAGGGATAGTCCCATGTGTACTTTCTTGTCCCACGCTTGATTTTGCGGTATCTCTTCGAGTCAAACTTGGGCCGAACGTGGACGAAATCATCTTTGCCGGCGTCTAATTGCGTACACAGAGGTTTGGTTTGGGGATAAAGAATCAGAAGGCTTCTGTCGCCTTCTTATCACTCGCATCCGGGTCTGGAATAATATTTGACGTGCTATAAGTACTGTAGTAAACCGTATGATTGAAAGTATGCTGTAGGGTAAGTAGTATTCTGCAGAGATCTGGAGAAAGTTTCTCCACATTCATTAACTAGCCCCTCCCCCCTTTATTGTGTATTTCTTGAATGTACTCCGTACTCTGTGTATGTTCGCTATACCATTTGATATTTTACGTAGTTCCTCTGTTTAACCTGAGCTCATTGAAAACAATCTACATATTTCTTATGTAGTGTATCGATGAGTTCTTGTGTGTCAAGATCGATATAGATATGATTATCAGGGCCCCTCCAAACACGGAATAGTAGTAGTACCAAGCTAGTTAAGTTACTCCGTAGTCCACTGCCCCTCCACTTTATCTTCCCTCTTTCTGTAAACATACTCATTTCTCACACTCCAGTGGTGCCTCCCAGTCCAGAAGCATACTCCGAAATCAAAATTGCCGAAAGCGCCTTCCCATCCAGTCTGCACAACATGAGCACATCCCTCGAGGAGCCTGCCCCTCTACCAGGGAACTGGCCCGTGGACCCCCAGGAGGATACGCCCATTTCAGAGGATCGTGTTTGGGTCGACGGATGTTTTGACTTTAGCCATCACGGTGAGAAGTCAATCCCATTCATCCAGCATGAAGATAGATCGATCCTCTAATTCCCAATTCTCTCTGTAGGACATGCGGGAGCTATGCTTCAAGCCCGTAAGCTAGGCAAAGAACTATTCGTCGGTGTACATTCGGACGAAGCAATCCTGGAGAATAAGGGACCAACGGTGATGACTTTGGAAGAACGGTTAGTTTACTGGGTCGCTTTTACTTCGTTCTCCCCTTCCCACTCGTCAACCCCCCTGTACGCTGACATCGATTCTTATATCTGGTATTCAGTGTCGCTGCAGTAGAGGCGTGCCGCTGGGCGTCTCGGTGTATTCCCTGTGCCCCATACGTAACTTCGCTTCCCTGGGTGTCTCATTACGGCTGCCAGTATGTCGTTCACGGCGACGACATCACCTCTGACAGCAATGGTGACGACTGTTACCGGTTCGTCAAGGCAGCAGGACGCTTCAAAGTGGTCAAACGAACCCCTGGGATTTCTACAACAGATCTCGTTGGCCGTATGCTATTGTGCACCAAGAGTCATTTCATCAAATCCGTCAAAGCTACGCTTGCCGGGGAAGAAGGCTCTAGAAACTGGGAGGAACGAAAAGAATCCGCCGCGGATCTCATGCAACGGATCGCAGATTATGCCACGGATGAGACTGGACTACAACCTGGACCCCAGGTTTCGACTTGGTCTGGTTCGAGTCTAGCCAAGCTTGACGGCAATGTTGAAGAAGCAGGGTCATTTGAAAGTTTTGTCCATGGGAAACCCCCAAAGCCAGGGCAACGAATCGTTTACGTTGACGGTGGCTTTGACCTTTTTTCATCTGGCCACATCGAATTCCTTAGACAGGTCTTAGCCCAAGAGGAGACAGAAGGTCACAAGCGTGGCTGGTATAACCCTGAACAGAAGAAAAGCAGATTGGAAGAGTCCGGCGAGGACTATCCTCCGGCTTATATTATTGCTGGTATCCATGATGATGATGTGATTAACAAGTGGAAGGGACTCAATTACCCGATCATGAACATCTTTGAACGTGGCCTCTGTGTCCTCCAATGCCGTGTAAGTCAATATAATTCACTGTTCTGAACAGCGCTTCAGTATGATGTTGACTTAAGAGCCAGTATATCCATGCCGTCGTCTTTTCGGCTCCGTTTTCTCCGAGTCAACCCTACCTGGAGAACATGCCATTGGGTGCCCCCGACGCCGTTTATCACGGCCCAACAACGTTCATTCCGCTAACATATGATCCCTATACTGCCCCAAAGAAAATGGGCATCTTCAGGGAGATCGAGTCTCATGCCTTCCAGCATGTGAATGCTGGCGAGATTGTTGATCGAATTTTAAAGAGTCGAGAAGCATATGAAGAAAGGCAACGCGCCAAACTGCAGAAAGGCGCCATCGAGAACTTGACCAAGGCAAAGGAAGAGACAGCATAATGACTGCCGTTCATAGTTTTACGCAGGAAAACAGACTAGCTGTAAATAGTTTCAACAACGACATACCTGCTATTTCATAATAAAGTCGCCATCAGTTAAATACAGAGCAAAACGCAGTTGAAGTCAGTTCTTGTATGAAAATATTAGGCACGTGCAACATCATGCCTAAGCCTGTAATATAGGGCTGGAATATGCGCTGCGACACATGGAAGAGTAAGAGTGCATGCTGCAAATGCTTCCCAGGAAAGAATGCAGTAACAATCATCAAATTAAACTGTCAATACAGACATATTCATACAAAAGAAGAGAAGGGGCATGGTGCCGGAGTGTCTAATCGGCAGCTACCAGAACTGACTTCTCTTCAAGCAGTTTTGCGAGCTCTCCATTCTGGTGCATCGACATAAGGATATCGCATCCGCCAACAAAATCTTTGTTCAAATACAATTGCGGGATGGTCGGCCAGTCCGAGTATTCTTTAATGCCTGGTGATATTGCAAAGTGACATGGTCAGCTCCATGCATCTCAGTTGAACTATGATGGAGGCTCTTAGCTTACCTTGTCGCAATTCAAGATCCTCCAGGACATTGAATGCAACGAATTTCTTGGGGTCTACACCCTGCAGGCCCAATATCTGGATACTAGCTCGTGAGAAACCGCATTGTGGGGTCTCGGGCGTGCCCTTCATAAACAACACGACGGGGGCGGTAGCAACTGCCTTATCAATCGCCGCTCTCGTGTCGGTAGACAGCAGGCGTGCATGGAGGGTAGAGGGCAGCTGGAAAGCAGCAGTGCGCGGCTGCACGAAGTTCGCCGGCCGGGAAAGTGGTCGGAATACCTTGGAAGGCTTCAGTGTATGTTCATCCAGATCCCGGGATTACCCAAAGTACACTTACCGATGCGAATGCTGTCCTCGAAAACATAATTTAAAAAAGCTCTTGGTTAATGGGTGTCTCGGACTAAAAACAACCAAAACTGCGATTCAAAAAGGTTTGGTATTGATATGCAGACTGCAAGTACGCCACTAACTAACTAAGAATACCGCTGATTAACAATTGAAAATCATTTGCTCTCAACCAATCAGATAATAGGATACGCTAACTATTGCCGCCCTATAAAAACCCATATTATGTATATTACTCAATATCACCAGGTTATGAAGCCAGCAGAATATATTCTCATTGCAATTGTGTTGTTGAACAAAAACAGCGATATGTAGAGATTGAGACCAGAGGAATTGTTGATATTTGCTTTGGTATACCAATTGGGGGATTTATTCATATATTTATTTCCCTTCTATCCCATTCATTGCGGGGATGGGGACGCTTCTGGTTTCGATTCTTCTTTCTCATAAAAGCCGAAAGCTTGCGCCAGATACTCCAAGAGTAGCCCTAATGCTATGCCTCCTCCGGTAAACAGACAACCGTTATTAAACCACCACCAACAGTTCTGGATGTTCTTCAGCTGAACTTTCCAAATCATAGCGCCAAGGGTAAGAATTGCACTGCCGCAGCTGCCCACAAAAAACATAGGACCAGCGCCTGCCGTTACTCCTGCCGCAGCAAGCAATGCGACCTGGGTCACAGCTAGGCCAGAAAGGATGGTTTTGGTGTTGTGTTCATGGCGAAGAGCGATTGATTTAATCCCTGCAGCTACATCATCTTTTATGTCCATATGGGCATATATCATGTCGTACAATACTGTCCAGGCGACGCAGCTAGAATAGAGAGCTGCCGCTGATTTCAGTGCATCGGGATTGGCGAGAAGATCCACGCCCAATGCTGGAAATCCCATTATCGCGCCCCATGAGAATGTAAGCCCCAAGATGATCTGAGGATAGTTGGTGAAGCGTTTGGCAAGGGGATATGTCGTCACTAGAAGCAAACTGGGAATCCCATACCATAGGCACTGGGTAGGAAACTGGAGCAACACACCAAGCCCAGCCAGTAACTGAGTGCCTGTGAACAGTATCGCTTGTTCGGGAGACAGCGCTCCCCTTGCAATTGGCCGAAATTTTGTGCGTTCAACATGGGGGTCCAGATTCCTATCCCAGAGATCATTTATCGCACAACCGGCTCCGCGCATAATCAATGCTCCGGTGAAAAAAAGGCCTGTTGTGCCGACAATCTGCAGCAGTGTGGCATACGGTGCCATGGGAGCAGCCAAAAGCGTCGAAAATATACATGGGAAAAACAGGTAATATGTTCCAACGGGCTTGTCGAGTCGCACCAACTCAGCGTAAGGTATCCATGACCGAGGAAGAGAGGCAACCAGCCCACTTGTAGGAGGCCTATAATGCGTGACTGGATTTGCCGATTTGTTCGATTCAGCGGCCAATTGCAACGAAGATGGAGAATGCGAACTATATCGGGCGGAGATCGCCTTCTTAGTTGTAGTCGTTTGAAGCACCGGGGATTTTGTAGGCCTGTTTCCTACACAACCGCGCGATATTGAAGATGAACGGACATGGTGGATTACCGTCGAAAAGCGTCTGCTGCACAGACCGAAACCTCGTCCCCCAATACATGTGCGCAGTTGCACCCCTCGATACAAGCTGAAGTAAAATATCGAAGAACTCATGCTGTAAAGCACGATATCAAGAATAACGAAACCACGATACGCAGAAAACGAGGATAGTTCAACCGTGATTCATACTCATATAGAAAAAGAAAAAGAGAAAAGAGAAAAGAAAATAGAGCCCTCCAACTAGCAAAGTCAATTCCTTTGCATCATGGTTTTCGAACTGCGACGACTGATATCCAGTTTCACGTGCTGGGCCCACCCGCCGCTCTTTTGTGAATGTTGACAACCGGCAAGGTAGTTGTATACAACGTAACTTCTACATAGTACAACTGCCACAATTACTTGGACGATCGCGTACCGAAGTAACTTACGCGTTGTTACTTGGATACATTTCGGCAAACCATGCATTTTCTTTGACAGGTCTCGCTGACCATCGCGTAATCGCATCGCAATGACTTCACAAAGAGCTGTAGGTAGCTCCTTTGGATACTTCAGAAGACGTTCGCGACTTTCTGACTTATCGAACTAGGCATTTCCTTATATTCACTGATAAATGCTGGACGAATGACTACCGCTCTTCCAGGGAAGCAAAAGATGCTTTGCCGTCGGAGCGCCTAATAAAACTTCCATTTCCTGAACTAGGCGCAAATCGATTATTTTCGAAAACCAGCTTCTTCCTATCAATCATTCAAACGCTTGTCACAATGCCTGCCCAGAGGCCCCGCGCAGCTTTTGAACCGATCTCCCCAGACTTGGATATCCCGGCACTTGTGGATGCGACACCGAATTTCGAATTCGCTACCAAGATTCATTGCAACGCAATAGACCGCATGGGCTTAGGAGCTTTCGAAAAACTCGTTCAGCTTTGTGTGGTACAAGGCGGGACGCCTCTGGTCGTTGAAGGATTCAATGAAAGCCTGGACAGTTCCATATTCTCTGAGAAGTGGCTGAGAACACACCATGGGGGAAAGAGTAAGTTGTCAGTATAACACTCCCCTCTTAACATTGCTGACAGCATGGTATTTCCTGAAAAAGCGGAAATTGCTCGCAACCTTACCACCAAGTCCGATCTCCCTCTCACAATCGGTCACTATCTCAAGAACATGCATCTTCTTACCAATCAATGGACGGCATTCAATTATAAAGACGCGAACCTCCAACGTATTTACTTGAAGGATATTGACTGTCCTCCGTTGTGGCACGACCATCTAAAGCGACAAATCCCTCCCCCGGTCTTTTATTTCAACGAAACCCCGGAAGCTTATGATGGCCCGGGTTTTGCATCAGCCTCTATTCCCGATGAGAGTGAGGCAGGGGTACGAATAGCCAAGGCAGGAGACCTCATGAGTTGTCTTCCGCCAGATATGCGTGCGGAGAACCTTATGTGCTATATTGGTCACGAAGGAACATATACCCCATCCCATCAGGAAATGTGCGCCAGTATCGGTCACAATATCATGGTTGAAGCATCAGACGGGTCAATGGAATATGGAAAACCCATAAAACCCGGATCTTCGCTCTGGTTTATGACTGAAAGTAAAGACCGTCGTGTGGTTTCCGAATATTGGATGTCCACATTGGGCCATGACATCGATATTGAAAACCATTTCGCACAGATGAACGCATGGAAAGCAGCCCCGTTCAAGACCTATATTGTTGAACAGAGTCCGGGTGACTTAATCCTCATACCTCCTCTAGCAGCGCACCAAGTCTGGAACCGAGGCACTAGGACAATGAAGGTGGCATGGAATCGTATCACAGTGGAAACTTTAAAGATGGCTTTGACTGAAGCGCTTCCACATGCCCGAATGGTCTGCCGGGACGAGCAGTATAAGAACAAGGCGATTGTGTTTTACTCCCTTGAACGATACTCGAACCTTCTCTGTCATGTCGATGAATACAACATTGATAACCCAGAAGTCAGGCAACTGATCAATGACTTTCAACATCTCTTTACTCTTTACACTCATATTCTGCTGTCAGAGAGTTTCTCGCCAAGACTACCCGTTGAGAAAGATGTTGAATTCACCGCCTTTGACAGCAATATAACTTGTTCATATTGTAGAGGAAACATATTCAACCGTTTTTTGACATGTCCATCATGCATAGGACCTCCGACCTTGGAAGGGGAGGACACCTACGACGTATGTATGGAATGTTACGCGATGGGAAGGAGTTGTGCCTGCATTTCCAATCTGAAGTGGGTTGAACAATTTTCCTGGGAGGAGTTGACAACCAAGTACGAAGTGTGGAGGCAGCAAATCCTCGGTCTCACGCGCGAGCTCAATGAACCTTACCAAAAATTTTCTGCGGAAAGAGAAGGGATGGGGAAAAAGTCACTCGCTGAAATATGCCAAGAACAACTGAAAGTGCGGCCATGGATTGATATCACGAAACCAGCTGTCAAGAAGATCGGGAAAGTCAGCGACTCGGAGACGACTAGCCCAGCAAGAAAGAAAAGGAAGACGGGTCGCCGTAACACACCCCAGGGCACCGGCCATTGTCACATTTGCAAGTGTGCCGAGCCACTATGGAAGCTTGTGTCTTGCTCGTACTGCAAATTGAATTACTGCTACGGTAGCCTTTACAGGGCCTTCAGCATACAGCCACAAAATGCCATGGAGAAGTATCATTGGATGTGCCCTAGGTGTCAGAGAATCTGCATCTGCGCGGCGTGTCGCCGAGACCATACTATGACTCCTTTCGAGCCTACATCCACCGTGCTCGGTCATGATACAAAGAAAATAGCAGACCTTCGCAGCGTTGAGAGCTTGGTCAATTTCCGGCATTCGAATCTTAAATGGTTCGAGAAGACAGGCGTGGACGACGAAACTCGACTTAGCAAACGCCAGAAGGAGGCCGAGGAGGAACGCAGTCAGTCTTTTATCGACCACGCTATCCAGCTTGAAGAAATACCTCAAGCGTCAAACTTCGAGGATATACCCGTGGATCCCTCATTAGAGCAGTTGCTCCTTACGCCGCCAGAATCAAATGTCTAAGAGCGTTTACGGACCTTTTGCGAGTGCAGATGATCGGGAGCGCGTCTGTGTACTTGGGAGCATTATCACATGTGGAGTTGAGAGGGATCTTGGGGCGTTCTTAAATACGGGGTTAGCATAACGGCGCGTGGCAATTTAACATTCAAGGAGGGCTTTTTGATTTTTGATTTGATTTGATTTGATTTGATTTTTTTTTTTTTTTTTTTTTTTTTTTTTTTTTTTTTTTTCCCTAGATGATTTCGCAAACATTAGGGTTCTAGGATTCGGTTGCTTAGCGTGTTTAACATTTCAATTTGTCGGCTTGACTCTTGAATTCAAAATGACAGCTTCATGAATGAATTAACAAGCTAGTATTATTGGTCTTCTGCTGCCCAAGAGTGTTACTGGACAAGCTATCTAGGCACCTTTGTACTCATATCGAAGGTTCTGAAGATGTGATAAATCCACCGAGATCATCGCTTCCCGCACCAACAAGATTACTCCGAACATTGCTGGATAACATGAGCTTAAGGTGATCGTCTTCATAATAACCGGCCAAATGAAAGTTATATGCAGGTGTTGGGCAGAGATACGTACCTCCTGGAACTATATATAAACCCGGCCAGATAGAGGAAGATGATATATTAGCGAAGAGATATACCAGGACCAATGTTCCGCAGATGCCAGTGTTTATAAAAAACAAGCTTTTTCGGACGAGCATGGTGCGTTTGACCTCTGCAGCAGGTCTCTTGCCTTTGCGATCAGACAAGTGCGACACAAACAGCTTCATTATGCAGGCCGTTACCAACAACGACGAGATAGCGAGGAAGGAGAAGAACCGCACTGTGGGAGTTGATGATTTGGATAGCACTGACGGGACAAACACTAGGACTGACAGTAGCGGAAGTGCGGTGAAAACAGTCTATACCGTTATGAATTGTTCAGCATCAGACCCAGCCTCTTTTTAGAGAATGGAGATTATTACACTATATTGTGCATTCCGCTGGTCATTCTGTCTCTGCAGTTGCTCTATCACCCGTTCTTGCTCTGTGGACTCTGTCAGGAACAACGTATCTAGAAAATAGCATAGCAAACGGACCTTCCTCATCTAACTCTTCACGCTCATGCCCTTCGTCACCTGAGTCCTCGGGGTAGCGAAATGCTCTACGGAGTCTTGTAGTAGCCATGAAGCGACTCAGGACTTTGAAATCAGGGCAAACGTTGAGTTCGATAATACGTTGGCATGAAGATGATTGGTGGCACTTCAACGCCCGCGGAGCCAATTGTGGTTTGTCTTGTTTGCTTTCCCTCTTCATGTCAACTTGCGGCCCCTCCACATCTCGCTTCGATTCTCTTGTTAGAATCTCCTTTCTTGCTAAAAAATGTCGCTACAAGCTGCGCAGTGGCGCATTGGTGCCCGGCACCTACAAAACTTTCCTGTCCGAATCTTAACACCCCGTCGCAACTTGATCCCCGCGCCGAGCGCAAATTCGGGCCCTCTGATGGAAAGACGGGCAGATCGGGAGCTCCCCTCTGTGCAAACAGAGCGACGATGGTTACGGACGCTGCCAATTTTCGCCGTGGTTGTGGGTGCAGCCATGCTGGGCATTTTCAACTACCAGAAGTCTTCGTCAAGTGTGGTCAACAGTACATTATACGCGCTGAGGACGTCGCCGCGTGCCCGGGAGATTCTGGGTGATGAGATCTATTTCGCACAACAGATGCCTTGGATCAGTGGGGAGATGAACCAGCTACATGGACGTATCGACATCTCATTCTGGGTCAAGGGGACAAGAGCCCAAGGTAAAATGAGGTTCCGCAGCATTCGGCCAGATCGGATGAGCTTTGTACGTCTTCCTTCATCCTTATCTGCTTTTTTTCCGCTTCACAGTGGCGCAAAACTATTTAAACGTCCTTGCTAACCAACACTTCTGTCCAACTAGTTCCGTACCGAGGAGTGGAGTTTGCAATTGGAAGATGGGACATTAGTACAGCTACTGGAGGGCAACAGCGACCCATTTAACAAAACTGAGTGAAAAGCAGAGCCATTGAGTTGTTACTTATGCGATATTTGCGAATCTTGTACAGCTAGACGTTTTGCATCGGGTCGGGCGTTTTTGGGAGGGTCCGAAAGTCATTATTACTTATGATTATTTGAAAGAAGGAAAACAATCAAAACGCGAAATCGAGAAACGATGAATAACTGAAAGTCATCACGACAGGGCATGGCCGGACCGAAACAATCAGAAATAGGATATCATTTATGTATCATAAACAGACGCCGCTCTAGTAACCAGTAGAGTTGTAATAGTACATTCCCAAATATTTTTGCAAGACGTGAAACACTACGCAGACTCTGCTGCTGCTGCTGCTGGCACCTCAGGCCAAGGCTTCTTGATTGCATCTTGTATCCTGACCATGCATCCCTTAGGACCGCTGACGGCACCTGAACAAAACGAATTAGCAATCTACTTCCTCGATAATAACAGAGGGGGGAGAAAAAGCATACCTGTAACAACAACAATGCCGTTCTCCGCATCAACCTTCAGAATCTTCAAGTTCTGCACTGTGTTCTGTTCATTACCCATGTTCCCTGCCATCTTCTTGCCGGGATACACTCTGGAACCACCACCCTGACCGGGACCCGCAGAACCGAGCGAACGATGCGTTAAACTGACACCGTGACTGCGATCCTGACCACCGAACCCGTGTCTCTTCATCACACCCGTGAAACCTTTACCCTTGGTATTCGAGCGTGCATCAATAAATTGACCCTCCTGGAACCAGTCGGCATTAATCATATGGCCCACAGGAGGAAGACCGCCCTCATCCTTGACCCGGAACTCGTAGACATGTCTCTTTGGCGAGAGTCCCTGGGCGGAGAAGTGGCCCAGGAGCGATTTTGTCATGTTGCTCGGATGCTTCCAGCCAGCGCCGACCTGGACGGCGTAGTAACCATGCTTCTCCCGTGTCTTATGCGAGACCACTTCTACTCGGTCGAGTTGGAGGACGGTGCACGGAATGCGGGTCCCAGTTTGTGCGTCGTAGATGCCGGTCATTCCCTTCTTGATGGCAACTGCTCCGCTTCGGAGGGGTAGGGTGTAAGCCTTGCGCTCGAGAGCCGCCGCAGGCGTCGACTTCAGTATCGGCAAGTCGGGACCAACATTGAATCGGCTGGGTTTGGGGGTGGTCACGGATTTGATTCCAAATGTCCGAACCGGCATATAATGGTAAGCGTTGATGGTGGGTATCGATTGAGGGGCCCAGAGGGCCAAAGGAAGCTGTGCCAGCCCCCGGAATAGACGCGGCGACATGGCGGAATGGAACGAGAGCAGCGGACTGGGGTAATTTCAATAGAGGATCTAATTCCACTACGTTGGTGAGATTTTCAGAACTACTGCGGCGGTGGCTGTCTTAGTCAGCATTCATTATAACTAACTAGTTAACTAACCTAGTTACAGAAGTATGTACCTCAAAACTCTCGTTACTTTTGAGAAATAACTATGTACATACTGCTGAGTGATTGCTTGATTATAGTGATATATATAATAAATTCTCAAATTTCCAATTGAAGATATACCCTCGCCTTTCCGGGCTTGGAGAGGCAGTGTCCATCCCACCTCGTAATCGGCGAGGTCGGCACGCCGAACCACCGAAAGAAACGGATTTCTTTCGAAAGCTCCCTTCATTTTCCTCTTCTTGACCCCAACGTCAGCTCAAGATTACTGCAAATCCTTTCTTGAAAAGCTGATAGTTGTGTCCTCTCATTCAACTGATTATCGGAACTCTCTACCGTCCTCGCACCGGCATCCCAGCACCACAAAAAAAAAAAAAAAAAAAAAAAAAAAAAAAAAAAAAAAAATTAAAAAAGAGGATCTGATTTCCGCCCCCGTGAGCTCCGAAAAAAGAGTACATATATATAAACACACCTCATAATCAGAATGTCTCTACGGCATACATTGCTATCACGATGGATAGCATCTCCGACGCAATTCCTCCAGAGCGCATCAGCGCTGAAATCCTCGCCGTCCGTGTCTCAACCCCTCTTTATGCGGCTTCGGCCCATGGGTCTCTCCGGTTCTCCTTCCCTTCCGTCGACTTCGCTTAGCCGTTCCTTTTCTCTCGGACGATCGTTTCAGCTCCAAGGGAGGTCCCTTGGTCGAATGAATGGCAGACCCCGGATAGAAAATAGCAGACCGCGACAGCAACGACGACAGCAACAACAACAACGACGGGGGTTCAGTTCGTCCCGCCAAGCACCGGAATCTCTTTCACAGAAACTGCGCAAGCTGTCCCGTGAGTACGGGTGGTCTGCCCTAGGCGTTTACTTGTTGTTATCTGCCTTGGACTTCCCCTTCTGTTTTGCGGCAGTGCGTCTTCTTGGGGCCGACCGGATTGGTCACTACGAAGACGTTATCCTGCAGACAGTCGCGGACGGCGTTCACGCCGTGTGGCCCAGTAATCAGGATGAGGAGTTCGATTCCGAAGAGGTTGGTGAGGAAAACAAGGTGGAGGCCGAGAAAATGGAGGAGCAAACGAAGCAGGCTACTGCTAAGAAGAAGGCGGACCAAGCAAGTACGTGACAATCCCTCCAGTAAAGGAAGTTAAATCGTTGCTAACATGTCCATTTAGGCCTATGGACTCAGCTGGCTCTTGCTTATGCTATTCACAAGAGCCTCATCTTTATACGGGTGCCGTTGACTGCAGCCATCACGCCCAAGGTTGTCAAAATTTTGAGAGCCTGGGGTGTTGACATTACAAGACGGAGACCATGAAGGGCTTCAAAACCACCCTATCTCACTAGTTTTTCGGCTTTAGTGAACTGATAGCAGCATCAGCTCAGCCTAGCCTACGGTGTGCAAGTATCAGATCCGTCCCCTCTCTTCCCTTTTCCCTTTTTTACTCCTCGCTTTTTCTGTTTGTGAAGAATGGCTTTATGTGTTCTCGTCTTTCTCTTGCATGGCATGGCAATGTTTAAATAGATCATAGCTTCACGATTGTATATTAGCTGTTTATTAGCTGTTTAGACTAATTCCGGGGCGTACATTCATGTCTCTTGGCTCTCAAATCTCAATTTGGGTATTATCACAAACGCACACAACCTAAACACAGCCCCATCTAATTGTAAATAGCAATGGACATTAAATCAAAACAGCAGTTTTTCCTGAACCCATGAACCGTGAGACGAAAAAAAAAAAAAAAAAAAAAACATTAAAAAAAAAAAGGCAAGGACGAAATCTCGAATATATGTCAATATATGCATGGTATAAAAGACATGACTATCACGGTCGATTTGTAAATCGAAGCAAGGTAAATATCACATATCGATCGTATCATTGAATCGCAAAATGCCATTGGCTTTCATCACGCCATTGACACCGTCAGGCATTCGATAAGCCCACTCGGCAACGCCCATTGGATCCGCGGTTATCATTTCTTCACTCTGCGAAGGCTGTCCGACGTCGTCCGAAGTATCTGCTACCAGTACGAGGCCTAATTCCTTGATTGTTTCCACAAGAGCTGGTACGACGTTCTGTAGTGGATTATGTCAGTTCTCTCGTCCATCGTCAAATGGTAGATAATGCCCGGCCAACGGATTGCGGGCTTAAGCCAGTGAAAAGAAAATTGTGAACATACCAGAAGACTTGACCGACATATCAGGCCCATAAAGTTATTACTCTGAGCAATGCGTGCGGACTCCTTGATGGACATAGATGCTCTACCACTGCTATGGACATCAGGCAGCGAGCCAATATCGCGAGCCAAGTCGCGAATTTGCCCAAGGTCGTTGCAAAGAAGGACAGGGTCTGAAAAGAGGTTATGTCAGCACAAATCATACCTAAAAGACAAAGGACGCACGAGATAAATGTCAGGTACTTACAGTTCGGTTGCTTCCAGTTAAGCGCAGTGCAGATGTTAGGGTTGTATGAAGTGAAGACCACGGAACGCATGAAATCGGGATGTCTCTCCCGCGAAACGCGAGCATGGTCAAAGACGTTCGTAAGAATAGCATCGGCGAAAGTATTGACGTCTGGCAAGGAAGTCATGCCCAGAGTATGTTCCTCTGTCGGTGACGGATAAAGCGTAGAGATATTGATGTTAATGCCAATGGGCAATTGCTCAAGGACATCTTGCAATGAAAGGAATGATGCGGCCAGCACACGATGGATTTGAGCGAGGTCGTTCATTCCTTGTGTTTGTAAGAAGTGCACAATTTCTGAACGGTGAGCACCTCTTTCTGCGCCAATTGTTTGGAATTGGCTGTACGTGAGATGGCAGACCGGGATTTCTATTCCATGGTGGTTAATGGTGAACTGCGGATGAAGCACAGGCACGCAATCCTTGGTCAGCTGCACGAAAAGTTGGACATGGTCGCCCGACAAACTTGAGCCGGTGACCAAGCCGTTATGCTCCGAGTCAAGCGCGCTGGTCGCCTTCCAGTATGTCGCAAAATGGGTGATCTCCAGCGGATCGCCGTGATAAGGCTTAATGACCTGGAATCTGAAACGAAGCTGACCGATTGACCGTAATCTAGGATCGAATAGGGGCAAAGTGCAGGAACCAGTACTGGAATTTTCGGCTCTGAATACGACCGGTAGCGCAACACTCTTTGCGATCACCTTGGAGCCAAATGTGGGAAAGATTTCAAAGTCAACGGCGAAGGTATCCAGATTGTCAATGTGGAACGATATTGTCCGCGAATCGTCCTGGATGGGAAGCATTATCGTGCGGGGGATTAGATCGGAAAGCTTTGACGAGATGGTCAACCGGGCAGCTGGATGGCGGCCCGCCTGGTCGAAGTATATCGAGCCCAAGTTACCTTGATCGAAGAGAATCTGAACAAACACCTTTTTGTCCAGGAAGTTGTGACCATAGCGCCGCAAGGGAATGATGGGTGGTGGCAGAGAAAGGTCGGGAATGCCGTCCGCTGTCTCCATATCCCCGGAATCAAATTGGTCTGACATGGCACCTTCAGGTTCTTGTAACCTGAAGCCATGGAGAATATCAAGCGGCGTTTGAGTTGGTGGCTTTTCATCACCACGATGAGACCAAAGTAGGAGCATGCACTCCAGATGCCCTTCCCATGCCGCATAATACATAGCCGCCAAATTCTTCTCATCCACAGCATCCGCATCCACACCCAACTCCAACAATGTTCGGAGGCACCCAACACAGCCTTCACTGGCTGCATGGAAGAGCGGGGTCCACTGGTACAGCTTGTCTCTCTGGTTCATGTCGGCACCATGCTGCTGAAGGAGCAGCAGCAACTGTGGCGACTGTGATGCACGGGCTACCATGTGTTGTGGGTAGAGGCCTTCAGCATCTGGGAGCAATTGCGCATTCCGTTCGAGCAGCATTTTCACTATCGGGAGTGACCCATGCTGGCAAGCAAGATTGAGCGGAATATGATCCGACTCCGAAGCCGGATCGATGCGTGCGTTGCTGTATAGAAGTTGTTCAGCACAAGCCAGTTGGTCCTTGACAATGCTGTGGATCAAGGGCGTGAAATTGTCATGGTCCATAAGATCGACCGTGGCGGGGCCGGCAGCTAGTAGCTTGCACACCATGTCCACACGTCCATGCATGCAGGCGTAATGAAGTGGAATTCTGCCATAGACATCCAACCTCGACACATCGACACCCGCCGCAAGGCCGGCCTTTAGGACAAATTCGCGCCCGGAGATAGTAGCCTCGTGCAGACAATTGCGTTCATTGATATCGTCCTCCGCTTGCATGTCCACCAAGTTACTCTCCAGGAGAAGAGCCAGCACTTCGTCGGAGAATTCGTTGATAGCCGCAAGGAACATGCGAGTAGCACGTTCCCCGCCGTCTGGAGATGACTGCAGCTTCGTCGTCCACTCGCGCAGAGTCTGGAGATTACCCGCAGTTGTCGATTGCAGGACCTGCGCGTCTAGATCTTCTTCCTCGGATCCTAGCGACTGCGCGGCTGCCGCAGCCGGACGAGCTGCATCAAATTGGATGTTTTCTCCTTCAGCCCAAGCTTCCAGTTCCAAGCGCGCGGTTGTTGCCCGGTCTGATAGATCACGCAAGACATCTCGATTGAAACAGGGTTGTACCTCAACGGCCCTATGGAGATATAACTCTTTCATGCGGGACTGCAAGAAAAGAAAGGAAAGGTTAGCAATGACAATCCTACCGGTTTAACCTAGTCGGATGCGAGATATATCAGACCTTTGAGGTTTTGTCCCACTATAGCACGTATCTTCGTCAGCTTATCACACTCCTAGCAAGTGAGCCCTCTTCTACACCCTGTGGAAGCTGAAGATGAAAACGAACCTTCTTGAGGATCTTGGACATGGCAGTTTCGTTGATCTCGACAAATTGCTATAAAACGGAATGTGTCAGCGAGGCACTTGGAAACGGACTTGGTTCAAAAAGTCCTGTAACAAAAAGCATCCAAGTGAACCCACCTGTAACTTGTTCAAGTCGCCGTCGAATTGTTGGAATCCTTCAAACAAAGCCACAAAATTCGCCGGGGCCTTGGAATTTGTCATAGTCCGGGACTGGACCACACGCTTCTTATCGACCAATGTCTTTAAGCGTAGCGAAAACTATAATCCCTTGTTCAGCGTCTTTCCTTTCCCGGTCAAATGAATGCAAGCCGGGGAGGCAAACCTCAGCTTCCTTTTGGAGATAGAAAATGTTGACTTTCTCTATCTCACGCTCCTATATGTAACAAATTCGCCCGGTCAGCCTAGGACACGATTTGTTTGTCAATCATCACGTCGGAGCTCCACGACGTACCAATCGGAAGAAGAACACCTCCTTGTTCGCGCGCAAGGCGCTTTGTGCGTCCGGGACATCGTGGCGGACATCTGTAGTTGATTGCGCGGGGATCGTAGGCGTTGCGCTTAATTGCTTGATGAGCTATCGAAGCATGAGTGATAAGCGTCCGGACCAAATGACTATGCACTGGAATCAACTGAAGCGCACCTTTTTCAGGGCTTTGTAGTTGACGAAACTTGCCGCATATTCTGGAAGGTCAAGCTGTCGGCGTTGGATCTGTTTCCCAAACTTCCTGTAAATTAAACCCGAGTGTCAGCAAATAGATGAGAATTGATGGAGGAAAATTGGGGGCGCCTCGAAGCCATGCACCGACAAACCACCATTTCGAGGCGAAAGACGAGCAGGGAAACAACGTACATCTTCACACGGGCTGTGCGATAATCACAGCACCACCTGGTCCTCCTTCAGAAAAGTCCCGTGCACAGGTGTATACTCTGTAGAATGGCGGAACCGGTGAAATGCCAGCGGCCGGACCGAGGCAGAGCGGAAAGCAAGAGGTCGTTCTTCTTTTCTCCGTCTATATTTCTTTCTCTTGCTCGCGCAAACTCTCTCTTGTTTCCTTTCCCCGTTTCTCAATTCCGATGAACCACAAGCAAGGGAAACGTCGTGATCCGGGAGGGCGGAGGTAAATGTAGCCAACAAGGTGGGGCGGAGGGGAGGAAAGAAGAGGCAACGATTCGGATGAGTGCGGTTGAGCGGAATCGTAAATAATCGCAATGGCAGCAGTAGGAGGGGAGACGAATTAGCAGTCGTGGCGAGGAGAAAGAGGTGAAAGAAGTAGAGTAGAAGAACGAGAACGAGAGGGAAGAGGGAAAGGGAAAAAGGTCAACGGAGTATTAGAGCAGGACCGGACTCGGAGCACCCGCTCGCTGGTGGTGGTTCCGCGTAGGGAACCAAAGAAAAGAGAGAGAGAGAGAGAGAGAGAGAGAGAAGCAGAGACGAGACGAAGAAACGAGAAACCAGCCATAAGTGCCCCTCTATAATTTCCTGATCGGGGACCTACGACGCCAGAACGGCGCCGTGAGATAGGAAGATTTGCTGGTGGAGAGCCCGGGGGTAGCTCACTTGTTCTCTCCGACGCCAATCAGCGGGCTCTTTTCACCCACGTTTCTTTTGACTACGACCAATGAATGATTAGAGGGTGCACTTTGTTATGGATTTTACAGGGATTATATATGAATTGGCAGAGCTAGTTATCCTGCGCTAGCCTTAAAAAACAAGGCGCATCCTTGACACGTGACTGGGATTCTTCTTATCCGGCTACTACTCTGTACTACAGGGAAAAGAATGCAGACCTGTTGGAAGGAAGGGGTAAACTCGGCAAGGAGTATGGAAGAGTGAGCCAAAAGGTAATCTATATTCTGCCGTTCTGAGGAATGCCTAGATAGGAAACTCTGAAGCTATACAAGTTATCATCTCACATAAGAAGGTGTGGTATCCAAACAGTGGTGCAAATTTAAAGATAAAACAAAACTATGAAATATGCATCACCCGCTAACACCAGCTAACACCAGATCCCAACCGCTCGGTGCTCTTTCCCAGCCAACATGCTCGTGCTCGTGCTCGTACAACATGGTTGACTGACCAGGATCCCGCTGTTTCACACTGAGCGTCTCTAAAGACCTGTCAAGGTAGTAGCCGATATCGGGCTCTTTTTATCATAGCCACAGCTATTGTCCAGCAACCGTATCTGTGGACAACTGGTCATGTCTTCTCAACTTCTGTTTGCACCATGATTTCAATGAATTCAATCTTCCATTACTCGCATTGCGCCTTGGCGGAGGTGGTATACATAGTATTGTATTTATCGGATCAATAGAGCTGCTCGATTGTTTTCGACGTTGGCGCAGATGATAAGAACCCCGCCGACACAGCGGGCAGCTTGTATCTCGACTGCATAACCAGTGGTCAATACAGGGCTGGTGTAGAAGATGTTCGCACGGTAAATGACGGTAACTCGCGGTTGCGTCTAGGGTTTCGAAGAATATCACATAGAAATCTGGAGTCTCTAATCCTCAATCAGTTTGGTGGGTAGCTCCAAGTCGACTTATGTATATACCTCCTGATGATTCTTGGTGGCTGCGGAGAGGAATCTGCGTCAAATCCACATTGTATTCCTCAGAGTAAACCATGATTATATTGGATCAAGTCAGATATTATCTCTCGTTGTTACTTGCTCGTAATTTCACGAGCTGGGTCATTTTTAACTGACAGGTATTGGTGATGTCATGCATGAGCAAGTTGTAACACTGTCAACACAAGGCCTGAATTCATATATCTGACCGCTAATGTGATCGCATTAATTAGGGCTCGTTGAGCGTGTTAAGTTGTCAAACATACGAATAACCGAGTAAGAAAAATATAACTAGATATGTCAAATCATATCTTGTCTGTATGTACTATGGCATCCTCCTATTCCTATATATCCACAAAGGAGGTAGGTTATAACCTAGACGCCTGGAAAACGAGGGTAACACACTATGCAGGCAATCCATCATCCAGAAAGAACATAATCCGCAATGAAAGTGCGTACAATGCACTCAGTCAGAAAAAAAAAAAAAAAAAAAAAAAAAAAAAA